GCTTCTCGCCCTTACGAATCGTATCACTCGCGAATATACTCAATATATCGAGGCAATTAATTTAGCCGACCATAATATTGTATCTCCACTAGTTATAACTCCGGAAACACTGTACGAGGAGTTGATCAAGTATAAGGGAGATATGAATTTATTAATGGAGCCAGAATTAAAAAATATTCGGTCATTCTATAAATTGGTACAGCTCCAAATGATCACAACTAACGAGATTATTATTTTCGCTCTACACGTCCCTTTAGTAAAGAAAATGATTTTTGACCTTTATGAGCTTATACCCCTTCCAATCCGACATTCTAATTTATCCTATTATTCATACATTATACCTCAGCACCAACACATCATATTATCACAATCCAAAACCCAATTTTCCTTCCCTAAAGAATTGTCAGATTGTATCGAGTACATGGACCACCGGTACGTTTGCTATGATCTTCACATCACTCAAGTTACGAATCAACCAGTTTGTGAAGTCAGTATGCTATCCCCTCATATCAAGGAGATACCAACCGACTGCGAAACAAAAACCATACGAGCCACAATCGAAACGTGGAAATATGTATCCGACAACCAGTGGATCTACGTCCTCTCCAATCCAACTACGTTGACCATAGTCTGCGAAGAAGATCAAGACCACATGGAAGATGTAATCCTGGAGAAGACAGGAATGATTCAACTGCACAACAACTGCAAGGGATACACCAATTTGTTTGCATTAGAAACAACGTACAAGCCTACTAGGAACGTTAGTCACTATGTCCCTAATGTCAACATTTTGTACGACGACTGTTGCACTCTTGAAACAAAATTGGCGAAAATCAAGTCCCCTGACTTGAAAACTGTTCATTTAGCCAATATAGATCTCTCCGATTTGAAATATGCCAGCAAGAAACTCAATGAATTCGATGAGATCATCACAAAACAGATAAATCAACCTTTTATCGTCACACATACAAGGTGGTATACGATCGCCCTCGGAATAGTAGGTGCCATCGTTATTCTCATTATCATCGGAAATTGCTGCCGTTGCCTTGGATGTCTTCAATGGATAAAACGATTATGCTGCTTCACCACCAATCCAGTCACAGGCCGAATATTGCCGCCTATTATCAAGAATTTCGTACACTGCAACTTCGATTCGACTGTATCGCCAAGAGAAATAGTCGCCTATAACGCGACAACCGACAATCAATCGGATGTCAATGAAGGTGTAATTCTACACCCCGTCGGGTCAAGACACCGACCAGCTTTGGATACAATCCCCTCGATTTCGGATGATGACGAGGTACAACATCCCGTTCAGCAGCGGAACCGACCAAGAGGAAGACGAAGTACCACTCCGTTTGTAAACATCTCTTAATCAACCGCATTCATGTATTTTATTATACCAACTTTGTAATTTAAGTAGCATTTAGATTTCGTTTCATTTCATTTATTAGAACCATTTATTTCTATTAGTTCGTTTCTATGATTAAGGAAAAGTAATGATACTACCTACGTAAGATTGAATTATTGCCTAATCCGAATATTGGTTATGTCCAAGAGAATCTATCTTCCAATAGTCCTTAGTTATTATATGTATTTCGAGTATCTTACGATATTTATCTTTAATAATCTTTAGTCTTAGCAACAATTCTATGTTCTTCATGTTTAAACCTCCTTAACCCTAATCTTTCCCTTACTGTCGATTACTCTCCAGTGCTAAGGAGGGAGGTGTTGGATAGCGATTAGATTTAAAAGTAAACGCTTTAGTCACCCATCGATAACTAGGGCCCGAAACTTTCAAAACTATTTACTGAACGACTCAGNAACTGTACGATATGTTGTGGATTATGAGATAAGAAATAATTTTTACTGTACAATAATTATTACACTGCAAGAAGTAAATGGCACTACGAAAAGTTTCTGACATTATCGTAATGTAAGAAAATTGGTAAATAAGGTGAACAAATTTAATAAAGATACAGGTTTATTATTAATGTCACGATAATGTCAGAAACTTTTTGTAACGCCATTTACTTCTCGCAGCGTAATAATTATTGTACAGTAAAAAATACAATTATTTCTCATACATTAATACTTATCACAAAACAGAAATCATTTGCATTATATGAATTGTCAATTAAGTAGCATATAGCAGAACGTAGGCTACTAGCTGTTATAGCAATTTACATAAGGAAAACAATTCTATTCTGCAATAAGTATGGAACTATGAGAAATTTTAATATCTTCTCCGGAATAAATTACTGTACTATGAGGAATATTATTATTCTATGTTAAGCACCAGTCTACAAGAAATAATTCAACGATTAGTAGTGAAACAAAGGAAATAATTTTTACTGTACCATAAGTATTAGAATACGAGAAGCAGATGCCATCACAAAAAGTTTACACTACAAGAAGTAAATGTCACTATGAAAAGTTTCTCACATTATTGTAAGGTAAGAAAACTATGTCATTATGAAATTCATTATTAACTTTATTAACTAACTTTCTTACATTACGAAAATGAAAGAAACCCATCATAGTGTCATTTACATCTCGCATTGTAATAATTACACTACAATACAGTAAACATTATTTCGTCTATTCCACTACTTATCGTACAATTATTTCTCGTACTTTAGTACATATCATTGAATAAAATGTAGTAAATTATGCTATACGATGAGGAATGTCATTCTCCCATGATAAGTACTGGACTACGAGAACTTATTCTATGATATGTAGTGGAACGAAAGAAATAATGTTTACTATATAATAATTATTACAATGCAAGAAGTAAATGACGTTACGATATGTTTCTTACATTATCGTAGTGTAAGAAAGTTGGTTAGTAAAGTTAATAATGAACTTAATAATGACAGTTTTCTTACCTTACAATGACGTGAGAAACTTTTCGTAAGGACATTTGTTTCTCGCAGGGAAATACTTATTGTAGAGTAAAAATTATTTCTTTCATTCCACTACTTATCGTAGAATTATTTCTCATAGGCTAGTATTTATCGTGGGATAATAACATCCTTCATTAAGCAGTACACAGAATGTTTTAACCTAAATAGCAAATTGACAGTTTGAATTACGCACAGGATTTTAAAAGTACTTACTATGTGTAGCCACTAGATGGCAGTTCCATATTTTCTCTTAAGTTGGGAAATAGTCCCGCGATGAGAACGAGCCTTGAAGGACAACCCGCTTTGAATGTGTGTACTCACGAGCGTGGATTTTGCTCGCGTGTAGGTTCGTAGGTGAGGGAGACGACGACGAATGTGATCAAACTAACGTTGTCGAAATTTCAAACCGCTATAACTCCAGAACACCTTCACCGATTGTAATGATTAAGGTCTCAAAAAATAGGAAAAAAATAAACGAAGCGTTTAGTGGAGGTTAAAATGTTCTTCGGTCTTTAGTATGTCAGCACTGACCGAGTGAGGAAAATTAAATGCCCGCTGTCAAGATGTTTCGAGTATGTAGAGTGGTAGCGGCCATGAACTTGTTTGAGCCGCTACCGCGTCTCTTGATACGCACAGACACCGTCACATACACACCACACACATACACACTTGTAAACCCTCATTTTCCTTCGATCTAATAAATCTTGTAAACCTTGCAAAACAAATCTCCATTTCTTTACCTTTCCTTAATCCCGATAACGATTAAGTCCCCATACGACTTGCTGAGGGGCCCACAGAATTTCCTATTTCCTATTTTTCTATTTCCTTTTTCTTTCAATTTCCTTAATCGTAAGGAAGGTGCGGGGGCTAGGTCTCACCCCCCCTTCCGCATACGATAAACCCTATTTCCTTTTTCCCAATTCGATTATATGGAAGGCGCAGGTGCTAGGTCTCGCCCCCCCTTCCATACACGATAAGTTCTATTTCCTTTTTCCATTCGATTATATCGAAGGCGCGTGGGCTAGGTCTCCCCCCCCCTCCTTCTGTATTTCAGATATTTTCCTCATTTCTTCAATTCCTTAATCGTAAGGAAGGTGCGGGGGTTAGGTCTCGCCTCCCCTTCCCTACACGATAAAATCCTATCTTCTCTCCGAATATACAAAAAGGCGCGGGGGCTAGGTCCCCCCCCCCCCTTCCGTATACGGTTTCCTTTTTTTAATCCAATTCCCAGACGTAACACTGAATCCAAATTTGATACTACAATTTCAAAATTTTCATTGGCGGATAAATTACGATGCCATTCAAAATGTTGAGGGTGTAATATAAAAAAATATATTTATATATACTGCGTAAAGAAAAAAAAAACGAAATGTACATATTCTTCGTAACTTTTTATCAAATTATATGTTTCTAGTAATTATATTTTGAAATTATAGGAATGTATCAGATACATGTGTCGATTTTATTATTAATAAGAGAGACATTAACATTTCTTTACAAAAAGGAGTGAAATCCCCTCAAACAACGTTCGGTGTACACAAATTTAGCCAAATATATTTATGTTTATTCAATTAATTGCAAAAGTAGCTCAAATTGCTTCCTTCCCTTGAAAAGCTTAAATTAACAATTTTTGCCAAATATAGTAGAACATTCATTCCATTAAAGTCTCAGCTAAAATCTTTTTGCCAAATGTCGCAGTACATTCGGTTTTACGTATGATGCATGTACAAGATTTTCTGCTTCCTCTAACCAAAGACCAATATTAAAAACTATGTCGAAACAAATACAAAAATTAGAAACTAAATTTGAAAGTAATATTTTATTCCGCAAAAATAGTTGATTTGAGTTTTCCATGGGAAGGGAACAATTTGAGCTATTTTTGCAATTAATTGAAAGAAGCAAAATATATTTGGCTACATTTTTGTATACCGAAAGTGTTTTGAGGGGGCACTATTACATGAGGTTTTCCTTTTCATAAATTTCCAATTTGTATTGCATTGTTACCGAGATTTTCCTTCTTATAAATTTTGAACTTGTACCATTAAAAAAGATTTTCCTTTTCATAAATTGGGTCAAAAGAGATTTTTATTTTCATAAATTCTATTAAATGAGATTTTCCTTTTCACAAATTTTAATTTTATATTGTACTGCTACCCGACACATTCCTTCTTATAAATTTCCAATTTGTACTGTACCATCTCATTTGATTTCCTTCCTCCTAAATTTTGAACTCGTACTGTACCAATACTGATGACGAAATTAGAAAAACTAACTTCTTCGGTCACGCCTTATTCCGATCTAAGCAACAGACATCGTCGGAAGAATTTCACAGTATTTCTCGAAAAATCGAAACAGACTGTCAATAGAATCTCAGTTATCAACAAACGTGTCAGTCAGTGTTAAATCTTCGATGAATGAACCCGAAAAATTGTCCATGTGCTTTTAAACAATTTCCAAGTTTTGAGAGGCGAAAATCGAGTTCCAACAGACTCGTCCATGTTTATCTACCTTGAATGTATATTCTAGCAAAATATACCTCAGCGTGTTTACTTTGAGTGTCAGCAAACATTGTTCAACCAGTGAGACCTTAAAAACAATACCCAGGATAAATAAATAATCATCCAGTGGCGTTGAAAAATAACGGCACCGAAATTTCCGAAATTTGCTGCAATAATGTCGCGACCGGTAATTTCTCCTTTTTCTCAAACAAACATAAAGGAGAAAACAAATGGTGCGATAAAAAAGTCAAGTCAATATCATTTGGCAAGAGCCGGGAAAGAGAATATCGAGAAGCCTTCCAAAAGACTTCGATTTAGTTCCGAATTGTCGGCAGAATTCGAGAATTTTCGAGTCTCGAATCAGAGCCGTTTAACTGATAATTCGAATTCCAGCTCGATTTCTGGTTCCGGAGTTTCGAGGAAGTCTTCGATGGACCTTGAAGACTTTGAAAGAATTCAATCTGCCGGAAAAAATCGGGTGAAATTTCCAAAAACGTCGTTTCTGGTTTACAGCGACGGCGACGAAGATATCGCCCAAGAACGGCCGTTTTGTTCGGAGCGGAACACATCGAAAAAGGCAGATAAAAAATCAAAAATTCGAGTGAAAGCCGAGCAGATTGGTCGAGAATTTCCGCAAATGTTGAATGATAAAGTCAAACGACCCAAGACTCCGTATAGGAATGAGAAAGATGTGTTGGAAGCGGAGGGACGATGTCAAGAGCGAAAATTCCACGTCGACGTTTCGCGGCAGAAATTCCAAATTGATAGTCAGGGAATAATAAATGAAAAACAAAATTTGAGATGCAATGAAGTCGAGAGTAAGAAAGTGGGAGGATGCAAAATGAAGTTCCCGCATCCGAGGGTTAATGCCCTTCAGGGGAATACGAAATGTGACGATGCTTCGGAGAAAGTTATTACACCTATTGATGCTTACCCGATACCTCAGGTGCCTAATCAGGTGGGTTTTGACAAACGCTTACTGATTTTATTAATAAAAATGGTTTTTTATTTCTTTAACATTTTATTTGTATGTTTATAAAGTATATGTTCAAAATGTTGTAAAATTAGATTATTTAAAATATACGTTTTTCAGGTGAAGCTACTTCGCAAAAAAGACCCAAAATCTCTCCGCGCCGCTGTAATGCCGTATGCTCAGGAAATGTCTATTGACATGGCGTACACACTCGAGTACATCGACGATATTGTACACATACAAATGCAGAAAGACGATTTATTGAATTCTCGACGATGTTTGCGTAGAAGCAATATTTCGGCCCAGCAAAAGTCCATCATCATCAACTACCTTGTTCGAATCAACGTACGTCAAAAATGGTTCCTTGTTTTTTATAAGATGCTCGTCATTGAATTAAAAAATGAAATTTCATGGGTGTTAAGACCTTCCTTGGGGTCTCCATATTCACGTGGTAAAATTTCAAAGGATTCGATCCACTCATTTCGAAAAAAAATTACATAAACGATCTAGTTGCCACTTTCATTCCGCCTTAAGGGATTTCACGGTGTAATAGCCTATTTTCATTTATTATATATGAGGTGTACAACTTTGCTTCCGCGGTTATCCTATAGATGGCTTTAACGGTAAGCGGGGGAAGCAAAACTGTGCACCTAATACTATTATAAAATCATCTATATTTTCAGACACACTGCTTCTATCCATCATTTATCCTTTATCAAACTGTCATGTTGTTCCTGGCCACGCTGAATACCAAACCCGTTAAATTGTCAGACTTGCAGTTGATAGCTTTAGCCTCCTTATGGATCGTCCTGAAGAGAGAATATATTTATCGTCTCGTACCGAGCGTGAGCATTGTTTAATCATAAATTATAAATACTTATAAGAAACAGATTTTTTGGCGCAATTTGAGTAGCAATATATGCTATACATTTCATTTCAGGCGAAAATATCAAAGTATGCTTTAAATTTCAGGCCAATATGTCAGTGTGCTCTAAAATTTCAGTCTAAAATGCCAAAGTATGCTCTAAATTTAATTTCAATCGAAAATAGCAAAGAATGTTCTAAAAATTTCAGATGAAATGATCAAAGTGTTTTAAAAATTTCAGTCAAAAACGGTAATTTCCTTGGCCAAGGACCTGTACGAGGAAAGGAAGGACCTCCTCGTGCAATGTGAAAGGGAGATCTTGATATCGCTCAATTTTGACATCGTTTTTCCCGATCCCTTTGCGATTTTATCCTATCATCTAGTTAGGTACGAAGGAACGACGCAGCTCCGCGACGACCAAGTTGAATTTGCATATTACTGCGGTAGTTATTTGGTAAGAATACTTAAAAAAAAAATAAGATAAATCGACATAGAGTAAAACGACACCCACCCGTTTCTCCTTTTTACGCAGTTTATTTCTTTCAAACGCGCTTAATTAATTATATCATGGCTGTAAAAATGTTTTTTGTAGAGTTTAAGGGTGCCTGTGAGTCTACACGGCCAAAAGTGCAACAAAAAGTCGATTGTTTTGTTTATCTAGATAGAAGTGCCATTTTAATGGGTCCTCTACGGGTATGGGGTGCACGAATGTCGTAAAGAAACCCTGGCGTGTATTAAAAATTTTAATCTTTTTTTTCTCGACCGCCGGCTCTAATTTTTAAAATTCTCTTTCCAGATCGATGTATCATTGTTCGAGGAAATTTTACGCGAAAAGACATCCACATTGTTGGGTATTGTTGCGGCCCAAACCGCCATATTTGCAACCGTGGCAAGTGAAAGAGAATTACTATCACCACGGTGGACTTCATGGAGAAGTCCTATTTTAAACAAGTAAATTATTATATATCTTTATTATAAATTAAAGACGGCCGATATTAAATCAAGGAACAATTTGCAGGTTTTGAAATAACTTAATGGTATTTATAAATTCTATGTTAACAGATTTCCTGATAGAGAAATCCAGAAGGTCAGGGCACTGATGATAGCAGCAGTAATGAAGTCGAAAATCGCTCACACAGCTCATGAATCAGTTTTCAAAAAATATAACAGATCAAGATATGGCGGCGTTTCTCGTGCTTTTATCCAAAAGGTTGAAGTGTTAGCACAGTCCGAAACGCAAAACTCCTAAAAGTTATGTGTTATTTATTTTTCTAAGTTTCATGAAATCGGACATGATTTATTTATTGACTTTTGAGAATGCATGGCATACGTGGAATGATTATATTGCACATGCTAATATGTATATTGGTATTGTATATATATATATATAATAAAAGAATTTTAGTCAACTTCATTTCAGCTCGAAACAAGCACTGGAGTAATTTCTTTTGCTGGAAATTTCATAATTAATTTTCATTTTTTACATCGTAGATTTTCAAGTTTTAAAGACATCTTTATTACTATCATCACAGTAAAGCGTTTTAATTTTAATCAATGCTTTTAAAAGTGCCAGTTAAATGCAAATGCACATTTCAGCAGCTACAGTACTTATAGTATGTATTTATTAGTACACTTCATGTACTTCTTCATGAACTTGACACAAACTCTTGCTTTGTTGTTGCTCATTGGTTCAAGTGGTCCCAAGAATTGTCGACAGAGACGAGGTCCTTTGCGTCGTCCTGAAAAGAAACAAACACGTTAATAACTTGGCACGAAACTCTCCCAGTTTCCTGATATATTATTAATAAAACCAATTAATCATCTTTAAAAATTCCAAAATCTTCCTATGGTTGGAAAGATCATTGAAGTAAAGAGTCTCGGCGCTCAGTCGAGGCTCATAAACTTGGTGGAGACGCAACCGCGACTCTTGGTTACAATCTCTCAAGAAAAATCTATTTCATGTAGAAATTCGTAGAGGTAATATTGGTAAACTGTACATAGTCCATATAGCTAAGTGTTATGGTTATTGCTTCAATATCGAAATGTGAATATCGTTCTTAAACAATGACATGTATTTAGTTTGAAAAAGGATGACAAACCTTAAACGTGAGGTTTTATTCCCCACCCCAGCCGCTGAAAAGCTGGAACAAGTCTCTTCTGGAACGGTCTCTTCGAGAAAAGGGAATTGGTTGCTAAAACTCCGTGTGTCAGCTCTTTCAGGGCATTGACAGTCTTCGTGGCGAAGCTGACAATGACAAAAGGTGGCTCCAAGCCTAGATTGCATTTCTTCCAGCCTTCAACAGCTACCAACCCTCCATTGGAACATACCAGTTGGAAATCTGTCGTATTCAAGTCCTTCTTATCAGTGCTATTAGGCTTCTCTGAAACTGTTTCCAAACATTGTCACATCATAAAATGTAATTAATTCGTCATTTCATGATATCACGTTATAATTTTTAATAAATTCGAAATTCTTTTTGACAGTGTATATTTGAAATTCGTCATTGTTTTCTTTCCAATTTTTAACACCAGGTCACCAGCAACGCGATTTTGAAATCACTGCGAAAGAAAGCAATCGTTCCGCTGAACAAATTGTCAAGAACTTATTTAGAGGGACTTCGAGAAGTCCACAAAAACGAGAAACTTACTATGATAATCTCCGACAGTGCATACAATTTTTTAAGAAACTTTATTAATCGTACTTTGGAGTCGTTGGACCCCATCAAGAGAGTGACAATCACCTTAACGATCGGCAAGTATACCCACTTCAAGGACATCACCGATAACAAGTTAAATCATCCATTTAACACTGATAAAGGTTCAGTTAATGTTATTAGATGAGCCTGGTTAAATGATTTTTAGTCATCGTTATGGGGATGTGAAAATGGCATCTTTACGCTCAATGAAATATTTCTCCAAATTGGGTGTATCGAATTGTTTGAAATTTTACAACGTGAATATGGAGACTTTAAAGAACCTTCTGTCACCTGTTACGTCTGGGATCGCTAGGAAAAGGAAATTCGTGAGGAAAGGAAGCCGCACAAAGGCTCCGTGTCCCTCCTGCACGATTTAGGGGAATGGTAATCTGTGAGAGATAGAAATTTGTGGGTCCCCTCAACGAGTCCTACGCGGACTTATCGTTATTGGTGTGAAAGGAAGAAAAAGAAAAAGGGGTTTCATTAACAAGGTTTATTAAAAAAGGGGAATGGATTTACAGTTGTAAGGTGTGTGTGTGTGAGTATATGTGTGTGAGTGTGCGTATTTCTAAAATACCTTGATATTTTCTTGAAGCTGGATCTTCGAGAAAACAATTCGCCGCGAATGGACTAACGAAAATGAAGTGAGAACTTGGAGCGAAATCGCGTTGGAACAACTTAAAAGTCGAGTGAGAGAGTCAGAGTTAGTGTTCGTTAGAGAGTGTCGTTAAAGTGCCTCACGAGTGTCTTTAGAGTGTCTGACAGTGTCTGACCGTGTGTGTGGCCGTGTCTGCCGTTAAAAAGTCTCTCTCTGTGTCTGGCCGCGTCTGGCCGTGTCTGAAGCTCGCTGCTTAAAACACTAGCTTTTATATATTTTCCACCCCCGACGCTTGGGGCCCAAAATTCGGGTAGAGGTAGAAGTCAAATTCCTATTGGAGGAATTTGGAGTGGTGGGAGTTGGAAAAATTGTTAAATGGACAAAATGGATAGAAGTGGGATTTGGAAGTCTCTAATTGAAAGAGGAGTTGGAAAAATGGGACTTCGGGGAATGAGTGGGATTTAGGGAGGTTTGGTTGGAAGGTTTGACTTGGAGTAGGGAGATTTGGGAGAAATGTTGCTAGGAGAGGGAATTTGACGTTCC